ACCTACCTGGTTTCTTGTCACATCAGTTCCACACAGACACAGATCTCAGTATATTTTTTATCAGGACAATGTCACCTTTGTAAATATGTAAAACCCCATTCCCCTTTTCCCTTATGTTTTTTTTTATGAACGTTGTATAGTTCATAATCTCTCAGACTTCTTTGTGTTGTTGAAAAACGTGTTAAACCTCACTTTTAAAAAGGGTATTTTGCTATTTCTTATTCGTCTTATTCATCTCATGGGTCAGTTGTGTTGAGAAATGGGTCGTTTCACCTTCCAGGTCTCATTTTTCTACGATTATGGACGCTGGGACGAATGTTAACAATCTGGTGCTTTGGAAAGGATGTTTTCATCATTTGTATTTCTTAGCAAATAAAAAAGAAATGGATGAAGAGTTGTTTTGGACTCTATCATCTGTTTTGAACAAGAGCTCTGTGTTTGATTTATCTTCTCTCTTGAATGCATCACGCTTTATGTCTATATATGAAAACTCCTTCATTGTGTAATTTAAATCTGCTGCCTTGTGTAGCTACTCTGGTTTTCTTCCTTGCACCTGAGAATGAGTGTGTGCTTGTTGCATTCAGCTGTGGATTTTAAATGGTGGGTGAAGGACACATTTAGAATGTTTGAGTTCTGAAAAAGTGAGGGTTGCACCTGGGATTTCAACAAATTGGCTGATAAATTAAAACCAACATTGGTATTTTTGTGTTAGTGTAGTAATTTCCAGCTTGTCAGCCTGTCGCTATTTATAAGAAAACTGAGGTCATGTGTTGAATAGCATTTTTCATCAAACTCTCCTGGCCTCAGAAAACCCTGCGCCTCCAGGTTGTAATGCAGACTTTCCCTAAAGCTGAGATAACTCCAATAATATGGAGTAGTGCCTTTTTTAATATCGTTAGGGTGGTTTAACACTTAAATATGAATGTGTATGTTACTTGGGCTGATTCCCTTATTTTGTTATTTAAATTTCACTACCTTTATATTTTAGCAAACAAATAAATGAAAAAACTGTTGATTTTATATTTCTGTACTGAAAATTATAATCCTTTAGTTTGAAGGATGCTTTGAAACAGCAGTTTGACCTTAATGGTGGGAACTCACTTTATAGTGAGTGATTTCGGAAACAGCCAAAGAATCTAAAAGACGCATTTGTGTGCTTTGATTCTGACATTTTACCACCAATGTTTCATATCATTGAAATAAAACAGTTTTTGTGACATTCATGGATTTCTGAAAAGCACTTCACAAATATATAGATTCATTTTGATCAGCTGTTTTTGTCCCACCTGCCTTGTAGTGAGACTTCCTCAAACCTCAATCCCTTCCTCCCTCATGATTGGCAGGTTATCGATCCAGCTAACAGCAGCTGGATTCATTGACGTTGGCCTCGTTCACACCCAACTGCAGCGTCTCTGTGTTCACTTGAGTGACTGAGTTTTTCCTGAGGTGCGGCGCCCTCATGTCACTCTGATCCGCCATACAACCCTGAGCTCCTCCACACACCGTCTGCCCTTCGATGCATCCATAACCATTAGCATCACAACATGCCTGCTCGTTCCTGACAGCTGGCCTCGCCTGGTTACCAGCGTGCCGACGTCTCACGGTGTAATTGCAGAGGCTCCTCGGCTGCAGGGAGGAAGTCACTCGCCCACACGTGTTCTCGTGCAACGCAGATGCAGGTCGGTATATTTTTGGTACATCGTGTTGTCTTCGGGGCACGCGGGCTCTGCTGTGATGCTGGGAGAATGTGACTCTTTGCCGGGATTTCACTGCTGACTCTCTCCCTGACCTTTTTAGTCTTTCACTCCACTGAGCCACGACGATGACCTCCTCACTGGGTTTTCCCAAAACTGCTCTGACAGCTGGAAATAGCTTTAAATATCTTCAACAACAAAAAAAGTTAAAGTACAGCGATGAGGCGGGCAGACTCAGTCAGGTATGCAAAAATTTCAAGCTGTTATTAACTCGAATAGAGAAAAAACTCTATTCATTTATTGCACTGCTTTAACTTTTTCAGACTCACAATAGATAAAAACGTCAAAATTGATCAAGCAGAAAAACTGAAATAATGTTATGATTCACTGATTTCTTTTCCATGTCAAATTCCGTGAGTCTTCATTACCCACAATTCAACAGATCAGTTGAGATTCAGCTTCCTAATAAAAGCTGATGTAATTTTTACACAGAGATGAGGAGCGGGTCAAGCTCACTTCTTACTAAATCAACAATATTTTACTTTTCAAACATTTACAGCCTTTTTCACATAATGACACAGGGGAGAGTTGCATTTATTCTTGTTCTTATTCTGTTTATTCTTGATCCTTCAGCTGGGATCTCGACCATCACTTCTACCATCGGTGAGGCGTGCAGCACCATTCAGGTGCACTAAAATCAGACTGTGGAGGACGTGCTTAAGGTTTAGAAAGCTGCGTGCAACAAATGACTGTAACAAATACTGCGATCTCGAGCAAGTTGGTGTTTAGTTTTTTTGGCTGCACCTGAAATGGCAGGCTATTTGATTTATTTGTAGTTTATTATTGCTACTGTAGTCTGTAGACTCCTGCAGTGGTGAGCGCATGACAGATAGACAGCATGCACTGAAATACCAACACAGGTCTGGAGCCTAAATATGTGATTTAATTCAATACTTTTATCATACATATTTATTATCAGCATACAATATTTAACCTTTAGAAGTTGAACCCAGTAATTTATACAGAGTTTACCTGACTAACTCTGTACATTATAATACAACTAATTTAAATTCCACTCAAGTAAAGTTTATTTTAAGTAACAGCACTTTGTTTGAGTACAGTTACTTCCAGTACTCTTTCCAACGCTGCATGTACATATTAACTTAGGTTTCTTATTGTTTCAACTGTAATCAAGTGAACAGCCGACAGGATCTTTCTATTTTTTTACATCCACCCCCATATATCACGTTTATGCAGCCATCCAGGACAAATATACATTACTTAAGTGTATGATTGATACGAGTCAATGCTTCATACATTAGAGAAATTTAATTATACCCTGCAGTCTTGAACAAATGCTGTGAATCATGGGCTGACAGTGAAGAATTTCATCGAAGTCTTGCTGTTTCCTGGTGTTGTAAAGACCTGCTGCCAAGGTAAGGGTGAGAAAAGACCTGTCTCCCATCGTCTTTTAACAGCAATTAAAGTGCTCTCCAAGTTTTTCTTTTTGTTCTCTGCTCTTGACGATGAAAAAATACTGTCACATCTGCTGTGTGGTTATGCATGGATAATGAAACTGTAACCCAATTTGTACATCTTAGTCAGCATGTCATCTTATTACCAGTGAAATAATGTAGGCTTCTCCTCATGTATCCCTGCAGGGCAGCTGAAAGCTCACTAAAACTCTACTCACAGATTAGACATAAAACCAGTGTAACATGGAGTATTCAGAGGGACGAGTATTCTTAGTGCCGCCTGGGCTATAAAGGCTTTTTGCCACATGTGTTTTGATTGCATCAAGATGATACAATCTACCATATTAAATTCAATCTAATTAGTCAGAGAAATGATTCTCCATTATCCACTATGACAAAGGTGGAAGTCTTTATCCTACCTCACTCCAAGGCTACCTTACATTTAGTCAAGTAGAGTCAGTGCTATCAGGTAGCATGTGTCTTTTCTCTATCTTAGTTAGTTAACCGTGTTCATTTTGATATATTCGTCCCAGTACCCAGGGGCAGACACAAGGGTGGGACCAGGGGTTACTGGCCCCAACTGAAATGTGATTGGTCCCTGAAGTGCCCCTGTCCTGTCGGAAGTTTTTTAAAATTGTTTCTAAGCTGTCTTGAACAACACAATGTGCTCGAACAAAGAACAATTCTCAAAATATATTCAATTTTGTCAAACCATAAATGGTGGCCCCTTTATGGCCCCTGAGACATCTTAGATCCGCCACTGTAATCAGCTGCTGTACATTTCACTCAGCTCTCTCTTTCTTTGAGCAGCTTTCTTGATTAGCAAACAGTTGCTTACACACTAATAGTAGTTTGAGATGGTGAATCTCAAATGGCAGCTCTGCATGGAAACCTATTCATTATCTGCTGTAGTCAGACAGCTCCCAGGAGCTGGCTTTATATGAAAAGCAACCCAAGATAACTTATGTTACAATTTGGCGCTATATAAAACTGATATTTTAAGGGAATGTCACAGTAAATGTCAGATGGTAATTGTGTAAGCTGATTGGCATTGCATAATTTAAACACATTAGCTTCTAGCTGACATTTGAACAGCCAGTAATTAAAGAGACATTTGCATACATGTCTTTGTGGGTTTTGTAGATGTTGCTGTGGTCAAGTCACTGATTCGTGAGTTGAAGAACTTGCATACCACTGAGCACTATGATCATCTGCGATATAATCCTTAAATCCACATTTTAGTATTTTTGGCCTTGCCCCCTTTAATTGTGTGTTGGCCCATGCTAGTCTGGTTGACAGGTTTCCATTTGTGTGCAAATGGAAAAAAACGTTTTATAAGTAAAGTGTAACAAGCAGGTTGGCAGTCTTTTCAAGTCATCTGTCTGAAAACTAGATCAAGTCCTGAACACCAAGACAGTTTTTTGTGCTTTGATTCATTATCCCCTGTAAGGTCTCTGTTTTATAAAAAAAAAGGCAAAATATCTGAGAAACGTATGTGAATGTAACGACATGAAAGACTGAACAGTCAAACCAAATCCAAAAAAGTAAATCCAATCAACATTCAAAGTGGTTAAGTGTAAAACGATTGTGTTACACATACTTAGGTTGAAAATGCAGTATATGATGCAGCTGGAATCGTGGTCAAAATGTAAATTGTCTCTAAAATTCAAGAGTTGATCAATCAGCAACTGATTTAAATATATCGTGTAACTGGACTTGAATGAAAAATTCTCATGCCTTATTAAATATATTTCTTTATTCCAACTAAATTAAAAAGTGGAAAGAGGCTTTTCAAAGGCAGATGAAATAGTTCCAGTGCAGGTCACGAACAGTAGCTAGTGTAGCTCCGGTCCTCAGAGGTAGTAGTCTGGATACTGGTACGGTGAGAGACATTTGGATCTGCCGTCCTCTAAGGTGATACACGACAGGTTGGGCAGACAGGGGCAGGTGTGGTGGAGTCTTTTGCCAAAGAAAGGAACCTGGAGGTAGAAAAGGAAACACCACTGATATGAGACATGCTTCAAGCACATCAGGTATAATAGATGCAGTGAAAAGTGATGATGCAAATGACATCAAACTCCTTATTAACTGCTGCTTTTGACATTTACTTTTATACGTCCTCCTGTGTCAGTTTGAAGGAGGGGGGGGGTCTAGGGGATAGGAAAGTGATCAGACAAAAGCAAAACCACAGAATTCACTACCTCAGATTATAAGTGTGGACAAGAAGACAGTTCAATTTACAAAACCCTCTCCATCGCTCTAACGGAGAACATGTCACGGCTCAGTTGCACTTACCACACAACCTGCATCATCGCCACCATATCAGATGGATGGTGTGATACTTCGCGGATGAGAGTGGAGAACAGAGAGGTCGGACTGCGGAGAGATCTCACCTTGTGGCTCATGGGGTGACAGTCGTGTCCCTCATTTCCCATGGGCGTGCACATACGCAGGCTGCTGATCCATAAACTCACAGCACAACACATCCCTCCTCCACACTGAGAGTCCTTCTCACAGGCCTGCACGCAGACACACACACACACACACA